ACACAGGTGCATGCACACACGTGCAGACACAGGTGCACATGCACACAGAAGTGCACACGCACAGGTGCTCACACACACATGCACACCCACACACACATGCACATACACCAGAAGCCCCCACGTCTAGCCTCCTGGTCTCTGGTCGGCAGGGGGCAGCTGCTGGACTACAGGGTCCCTGGGCAGCCCTTGCCGCTGTCGCAGGTTGGAGCCTAAGTGCCCCCAGGGCCACAGGCAGAGGCTCGGTCACCAGCACAGGGCATCATGGGAAGGTGGCAGAACCCTCAGGAGGAGGTGAGCTCCTGGGGACATGACCCTGAACAGGAAGCGGGGGCCCAGGCTCTTCCTGTGTGTGGGGGAGGCCGCAGCCTCTGTGCCGGGCCCTCCCTGCCCTGCGCCTCCCCCGCAGCCCCATCTCCATCAGGCCCCTGCTCGGTGCAGTCACCTCTGCGCAGGACGCCTCCTTTTTTTGGGGGGGGTACCAGGGATGGAACTCAAAGCCCCCGACCCCTGAGCCCCGTCCCCAGCCCTGTTCTGTATTTTATTTAGAGACAGGGGCTCCCTGAGCTGCTCAGAGCCTCGCTGTTGCTGAGGCTGGCCTCCAACTTGTGATCCTCCTGCCTCAGCCTCCTGGGCCACTGCGCCTGGTTCCTTTTCCTCCTCAATGGATTCTTCTTGACTGCAAAAGCTCTTTAAAGGGAAACCTCATGCCCACAGACACCCAGATGAACCCCGTGTTGTGAGGGCAGGGCGTTGGTCCCCAGGGGCTGGCGTGGGAGGAACCGGGGAGCTGAGCCCGGAGTTTCAGTTTTGCAAGATGAGAAGCTCTCTGAGACGCGTGGTTGTGACTGTCACACAGCCACCGGCCTGCGGTTAACGCCACTGGGGGGCACCTCCCTGCAAGTGGCCCAGGTGGCCAATTCCACCTCCTACATATCTTAACCACGATTTAAAATAAAAAACGACACACTGAGGCTCGGACGTGGCTCTGAGGAGGTTGAGGCTGGGGACAGGCTGCGAAGGGCTGGTGGCGGCTGGTGGCGGCTGGTGGCCGGCCCCCACAGGCCCAGGCTCACACCCCAGCCCTTCAAGGCCACAGGGAGACTCGGCCTCTCCTCTCCTCGGCCGCCCCCGCCCTGGGCCATCCTCAGCAAGGCCCAGGGAGCCCAGGCGCGGGAGGCCAGGGTGACAGAGACAGGGAAGTGAGAGGCCGAGGGGAGGTCGGCGGTGCAAGGAGGGCCCCGGCCATCTGCAGGCCCAGCCCCGGCAGAGCCCAGGAGGGTGGAGGAGCAGAGGCCACCCAGGGCTGCCCCCCTGCCAGAGCAGGGCACCCGCAGAGGAAGAGGAAGGACACAGCCCGGGCGCCGGGTCAACTCGGGGTAGCGGCATCTGCCCAGACTCCCCGCTGCAGCCAGAGAGGGGAAGCAGGCACGGCCCGCCCGGCACACAGGAGCCCCCGGGCACAGGGGACAGTGGGACCTCCCCGATGCCCGTCGCCCAAGCAGAGCCCACAGGCCCCGTGGCACGGGCTGCGACCTCTGACCCCACGTGCTGACACCCGACCTGGCCAACGCTCTTCCCCAGGGCCTTTGCACCTGCTGTGAGGGGCTGCGCGTCCCTGTGGCCCTCACGCGGGCACGCTGCTGCCCAGACGTCCGGCAGCACGTGCGTCCACTGGCCTCCCCTTGGCCAGGAGGGTCACTTCCCCAACAACCACGTGCTCCTCAAAAGCAGGGCACCGTCCACACCTTCTCTGTCCCTTCCCCAGGACCCAGGGCAGGACCAGTCAGGATAGGTGCCACCTGTTGGTTAAGGGACTGTCCAGCTCTCCTCTGTGCCATCCACGTTTCCCATCGGTGCTTGTCCCCGGGGGACCCACACTGACTCTGTGCCCTGTCCAGGGCCCCTCTAGTGACCACCTCAAGGGACGCCCAGGTGACAACTCAGCAGACCAGAGGCTGTGATTCCAAGGCCACCGGCAGAGGAAAGAGACCTGACGGAGGTGTGAGGGGACGGACGGGCACAGTCCCGAGTGGACCAGGGACAAACACCGTAGACGAAGGCCCATAGGTACAGGCACGGGCCCGAGACGTGACCTACCAGGAGGGGCCTGTCCCGCCTCATGCAGGGGCACACTGCAGAGCTTGGGGGCAGGGAGGTCCCCGGGGACTGAACCCAGGGGCGCTAACCCCGGAGCCCCGTCCCCAGCCCCATTCTGTATTTTATTTAGAGACAGGGTCTCGCTGAGGTGCTTAGGGCCTTGCTAAGTGGCTGAGGCTGGCCTCCACCTTGCGATCCTCCTGCCTCAGCCTCCTGAGCCGCTGGGATTACTGCCTGGCTGGCTTACAGTCCCTCACTGACAACAGGGGTGCTTCGTCCCGAGGCCAGGAGGTTGCACAATGCCTGGGACACAGGACACAGGACTGGGGCTGGGCTCAGCAGCAGGGCGATCTCCTGGCGTGTGCCAGGCCCTGGGTTCCGTCCTCAGCACGGCCTCAAAATAAATAAACACAATGAAGGTTTCTGTCCACCTACAACTAAAAAAAAAAGGCCAAAGAGCAAAGCCACTCAATCAACTCCAGAGAGTCCGAGGAAGAGCCCAGGCCACATGTGACCTGAGAGCACACCTTGGCTCCTCTCCCAGGGTCCACAGGCTTCTGGGCCAAGCACCTTCACAACAACCACCTATGACAACCCGTCTCCGCTCTACTTCCTGGAAGCTAACGTCACTTTGTGCATACAGGGGGGCCTTTCCAAGGGGCTAGTGACACGTACTTCATGAATCACCTTCGATAACAAAGTTTCTATGAGAATCAGGAGCCTGTCACACACGAGCCACTCTGGCTGGCGGCCACTGCAGGATGAGTTCTTCTGGCCAATGAGCCCGAGGCTGCGCGTCCCCTGGCCTACTGGTGGGGACAGGGACAGCTCCCAGAGGCTCCCACCAGCTCCGTCTCTGCGGCTACTGGAGAGGACTTCGCAGCCATCGCGTCCATCTGAGTCTCGCTTCTGTTCCCGACTGAAATGCAGGCAGCTTAGACTAGATGGCCTCTCCAAGTCCCCTGGGCCCCAAACCATCCAGTCATGTGACATGTGACGGTGTCGGTCAAAAAGCAGGACGCGGCAAATTCAAGGATAAGCAATGTCCCCCAGGGTTGGGACTTAGATGCTCTCTGTGTTCCAGAGGCTTAGCTAGGGACTCCTGGACAGAGAGGACCTCTCCTCCCGGGTGGAGGTGACCCGGGCACACAGCTCCAAGTCCCCAGAGGACGGTGTGCAAAACCAAAGCCACAGTGGCTGCGCTCAGGCAGCATTACTCAGACGAGGACATTTTGGGGACCTGGTTGACGAACGTCTTCCTGTGGCGGGAAGGGACGTGAGCCCTCCCAGCACCTCCGAGAGGGCACTTGGCAGTCAGTCACCTCCTCCCACCAGGCTGATCAGAATCTGCCCGCGGCCACCAGCTGTCCTCAGGGGGGGATAAAGGCTCGTCACTTTAGGAAAGAAACAGCCCAGTGCAGGGTCCCAGGAAGGACCAGCCATGACCCCAGGCACACACTGGGAGCCCTGGCCTTAGCCACCTGTCCCCGGCCTGGCTGTTCCCAGCAGCAGGGCCCCTCCAGAGAGCCGAGCACCAGGGTCGCAGAGCCACTGACCGCCCACTGTCCACACGGGACAGGGGGACCCCAGGTGGCTGCACAAACCCTGAAGCCCAAGTTCAGCCTGATACAGGCGCAGGGTCCTGATGCCCTGGGGACTGAGCCAGCTCGTCCCTGTCCAGGAGGCCGACTCTTAGGGCAGAGCCAGGGCCCGGCCACCACGAGGCCCCTGATAGTCACAGACTGGCACAGCCAGGCTCTGCCACCAGGCCAGACCCGCTAAGCCCCAACTGGAGCACAGGGGCTCAGCAAGGGTCCCCTGAGCGTGGGAGGGAGCAGGCCGCCCTGGTCACTCCCCCCCACCGTGCTGCCTGCAGGGATGTCCCTTGCTGCCCTGCGCTGGGCCACATGCCCCAGGCCGCGGGCCATCCCAGGGGGCCACCAACGCATCCCCATCTCTACTGGATCAGGTGGCCCCGCGTGTTCCTCCCGACCCTGCTGCCAGTGTGACCCACGCGGACGCCGCTGCAGTCCCCGCGGCAGGCAGGCGACACTCCTGGGCCTCAGGCCAGGGCTGTGCAGGGCGCCATCAGGGCAGGAGCGAGTGGCGCGGGGACCTCGCGGCCTGGCCTCCCGCAGAGGCCGGGCTCCGCATCCCGGGTCCACGCCCGCGGCCACCCAGCCGGGCGGGCCCGCTGTCCCCGCCGCCCGCGCTGTCCCCGCCCCGGCGTGCGCGCCGCCGCCTCCCGGCACCTGCCGCCTGCCTCCCGGGCTCCCGCCGCCGCGCCCCGCCGCCCCTCCACGGCCTCCCGGCCTCCTCCCGCCCCGGCCTCCCCGCCCGGGCCTCCCGGCCTCCGCGCCGGCCTCACCAGCGGTAGCAGCCGGCGGTCGCCTCCAGCGTGAAGTTGACGCGCGTGGCCCGCGTGAAGGGCAGCAGCACCTTGGGGATGTTGAGCGTGGCCGCCGCCGCGGACGGGCCCAGCGCCAGCAGCACCCAGAGCGCCAGCAGCGGCCCGCGGCCCCGCGCCGCCATCCCCGCGGCCCCGCGTCCAGCGTCCAGCGTCGCGCGCGCGCGCCCAGCGCAGGTGCCGACCCGCGGGGCCGCGCCTCTTCCTGGGCCGCGGGAGCCCGGCGCCCCGCCCCAGGCGCAGCCGCTGGTGTCTGTCCCCAGGCCGGGCTGTCCCCAAGCCCGGCCCAGGCTGTCACCAGGCTGATCCGAGGCCGTGCTGTCCCAGGCTGTCTCCAGGCCGTCACCAGGCTGTCCCCAGGCCATCACCAGACTGTCCCAGGCTGTCCCCAAGCTGTCCCCAGGCCGTCCCCAGGCTGATCCCAGACAGGGCTGTCCTAGGCTGTCTTCAGGCCGTCCCCAGGCCGAGCTGTCCCCAGGCTGCGCTGTCCCAGGCTGTCTCCAAGCCATCACCAGGCTGTCCCCAGGCCAGGAGTCCCGAGGCCGTGCCCAGGCTGTCCCCAAGCCGTCCCCAGGCCAAGTGTCCCGAGGTTGTGCCCAGGATGGGCTGTGCCCGGACCGGGCTGTCCCCAGGCCATGCTCAGGCTGATCCCAGGCCATTCCCAAGCCGTTCCTAGGCCGGGCTGACCCCAGGCTGATCCCAGGCTGTCCCTAGGCTGATCCCAGGCTGATCCCAGGCTGTCCCCAGGCGGATCCCAGGCTGTCCCCAGGCTGATCCCAGGCTGTCCCCAGGCCAGGCTGTTCCCAGGCCATCCCCCACGCTGTCCCCAGGCCATCCTCAGGCCAGGCTGTCCCCAGGCTAATCCCAGGCTGATCCCAGGCTGTCCCCAGGCCATCCTCAGGCTAGGCTGTCCCCAGGCTGATCCCAGGCCGTCCCCAGGCCAGGCTGTCCCCAGGCTGATCCTAGGCCGTCCCCAGGCCAGCCCCAGCCCCAGCCCCCACTGATCTCTTTTATTCTTTGGTGGTGCTGGGGATTGAACCCCCGGCCTTGGGACTGTATCCCCACCCCCGATGGACCCTCCTTGAGCAGGTGACACAGTGAGTTCCAGCTGAAAAGGCTCCACAGGGCTCACGGTGCAAGGGATTCTCTGCCCTGTGCCCCTGAGTTCCCTTCCCCTCAGCAGCCAGGGCTTCCTCCCGGTGCAGACCTGAGGGTCGGTCACGTGTGTGCGCATGCGCTGGCTCCTCCCTCTGCATGTGCACACGCCCCTCTCCCCCTCCTCCCTCTCCGTGTGCACATACCCCTCTCCCTCTCGGTGTGCACACGCCCCTGCTCTCCCTCCTCCCTCTCTGTTTGTGTGTGCAACACAGACACACGCTGTATACACCTGTCTGTATCCCCTTGTCAGAGAGCAAATAAATACATGAGTGAAAGGGACCGCACAGGGCACAGAAGAACTGGCACTCTGGTGCCTTGGGATCATGAGCCCCTGTGGCCCCACCTTTCCAAGGCTTCTGATTAGGGTGGAGAAGGCAGTCCCATGGATTGTGGGGAACACATCTTGGTCGTGAGCGGTGGCATAGTAGTTCATTAAACAGGAGTGTTGGGCTGGGCTGCGGCTCAGCCGTGGGGCGCTGGCCTGGGTTCAATCCCCAGCACCACATACAAGTAAAATAAAGGTGTTGTGTCCACCTACAGCTAAAAGAAAAACAAACAAACAAAGAAAACCAAGTGCACCAGGCGCGGTGGCGCACGCCTGTCATCCCAGGGGCTCGGGAGGCTGAGGCAGGAGGATCTCGAGTTCAAAGCCAGCCTCAGCCAAAGGGAGGCCCTGAGCAACTCAGGGAGACCCTGTCTCTAAATAAAATGCAAAACAGGGCAGGGGACGGGGCTCAGGGGTCGAGGGTCCCTGGGCTCATTCCTAGGTACCAAAAAAAAAAAAAAAAGAGCAGTGTGTGGGCCCAGCAGGACTCCCTGGGTGGACACCTGCCCCCTCCTCTGTGTGACTGCGTCTCTACTCCAGCCATGGAGCCCCTCTCCCAGCACCCTGAAGTCTGTCTTCGTGACATCTGAAGGCCACCTGTCTTCCAGTCGAGGCGTTGACATATGTTTTCTTAAGAGGCAAACTTGGCTGCTTCTGTCAACAGAAATCCAGCCCCAGCTGCCAAAATAGAAGACTACGTGAGATAAACACAGGAAACAAAGGGGTGCCATCTGGGAGGGGACACGGGGACGGGGACACATGACTCCCTGCCAACAGCTCAGGGCCCAACGCTGTTCTTTTCTTTGTTTGCTACTAGGGATTGAATTCAGGGGCACTGGACCACTGACCCTCAGCCACAGCCACAGCCTTTACATTTTATTTAGAGACAGGGTCTCCCTGAGTTGCTCAGGGCCTCACTAAGTTGCTGAGGCTGGCCTCCAACTTGTGATCCTCCTGCCTCAGCCTCCCGAGCCACTGGGAATCAGGTGTGTGTGCCTGGCCAAGGCCTGTTCTTGCAGGAGAAGATGCCCACGCTTGTTTGTACCTTTCTTTTGAGATACAAGGATTGAGAGGCCGCTCAACCAACTCTCTCCCTGGGGCGTGTCATGCCGGGGCTTATCCCCTGCCCATGCGTGATTCCTAAAAATCATCTTATAAGGCAGAATAGATAAGATGGGATTGAACCAATCTTATATTCACAAAAGTAAACAATACAGTGAAGCCACATGACCTTCCCGTCCTGTGCCACTGTCTGAGACCAATTCTGTGCCCCCTACAACTTGCACAACCCTGTCTCACTTTGAAACCAGCCCAAGACATCTTGTCACCTTGTCTGGATTGCAGTGTGTCTCTCTGAGATGAGGCCCCCTGTCTGCATCATTCACATCACGGCCACCACGCCTGTCATCCCAGTAGCTCAGGAGGCTGAGGCAGGAGGATTGCAAGTTGGAGGCCAGCCTCAGCCATGGTGAGGCCCTCAGCAACTCAGGGAGACTCTGTCTCTAAATAAAATACAAAATAGGGCTGGGGACGGGGCTCAGGGGCTGAATGTCCCTGAGTTCAGTTCCTGGGACCAAAAAGAAATCATGGTTCTGGGTGTGGTGGGGTGTGCTGGCATGTCCCAATCGTCCCCACCAGTGGCTTAGGCCCAGCAGTCTACAGCCAGCCTGGGCCACACAGCAAGACCCGTCCCCAGCACCGGAGCGAGGCCCCTGCGTGGTGGCTAATGGGATGTCCCCCAGGCCCTGGCTGTGCCCCATTTCTCCTTCTCTTGGTGACTCGGGGTGGCCCCTCCTCCGTGGAGAGACCTGCTTTCAGAGCACCCCAAGCCGAGTCCCACCGGCCCTGGTCCCACGGGGGCCGTGACATGGGGGTGCCGGTGATCAGGAGGTGCCGTCCTCCTGCTGCTGTGTCCCAAGTGCGCTGTGTGGCTTTGGCTTGGGGCCAGGGGTCCGGGCAGGTCCAGGCAGGTCCAGGCAGGCACTGAGGGACGCCCAGCCCTGTCCCCAAGGCGGCCCTGCCTGGATCCATGGCTGCTGGCCTCGGCCGGCCACGGAGCTTCCCAGGGGCCACTGGACGGCTGCCCCTGAAGGACAACAGCTGTCCCCGGAGGACAGCAGCTGTGGGGCGGCAGCTGGTCACCAGGCCTCCTCCCGGGCCAGACGTGGGCTGCAGCAGATCCCGGAGGCCCTGGCTGGACACAGGAGAAGGTCAGCAGCTGCCATCAGAACCCTGCTGCTCACTTGGGGACGAAGGGACTGTTATAGTCCACCAGCGGCCAGGCCCGGGAGGGCGCAGGGCCAAGCCACAGGCGGGTCATCTTGGGTTCGTGGCCATTGATGGCCCCGTGTTTTATTGGTTGATCTGTTTGCACGGCCGAGACTCGAACCCAGGGCCTCCCACGGGCCAGGCGAGCGCTGACCGCTGAGCCCAGGTCCCCAGGCAGGGCCACTCCCTCCTGGGCCTGTGGCACAGGTAGGGGACCCGCCAAGTCGGCTGGGGCTTCGCAGGAGTGTGAGGACCGTGGAAAGTGGAAGGTCACCGGGTCCCGGGGTGCCCAGCGTGTCCAAGGGCACAGTGGACGGATGTGGAGGCCGCTGGTACAGTCAGGAGCGAGGGGGACGCGTGGGCTCCTCCCCCTTAGGACACACCCTGGCTGGCCCGAGTGGCCACGTCTGTTTTCCTCTACTTGGGAGGCAGGAGGGTCACTTGGGCCCCAGAGACGGTGACCAGCCTGGGCAGCCGGAGACCCCATCCGGGAACTGAGGCCGGCTACGGCTTGCTGGTGGGATGCAGGCTCAGCGTGCTCCAGCCCCAGGGCCCATGGCCTTGCCATCAGGCCACCCCCACAGAGGGGCTGTCACTCACGGGTGGGTCTCTGTGTGTCAGAGGAATCAGACAAAGGCACCGCACAGGGACAAGGCTGAGCCACACGTGGGGACAGAAATCCCTGCCTGTGTGTCGTCTGTGGGTGGGTGGGACGGACATCTTGTCCCCTCCACCCATCTTGTCAGCCCCCCGGTGGACTCTCCAACCACTAACAAAGGCCACTTACTGATCACTTAGGGACCGTCCCTCACACACACCTGCTCCTCCAGAATGTGCCCCCCACCCTCTGGGACGGTCCCTAACATTATCAGCAGAACAGGGCACACTCCTGCCCCATGCGGGCTCCATGGGAATGGCCTAGTTGTCCCTTTCACTGTTAGGATCTCAGGGAAAAAGAGCCATTTTGCAGGCCAATGCTGACCAGCTGGGATCTGACGGTCACTTGAGCCAGCGGGTGATGCAGGCGCATAGTCCCAGCTCCTCTGGAGGCTCAGACAGGAGGACTGGGAGTTGGAGGCCAGCCTCGCAATTCAGCAAGACACTGTCTCGTAAAATTAAAGGGGGTGGAGGTCCGAGGCGCAGCTGGGTGGTGGAGCCCCTAATTGGCACGGGCGAGGCTGTGGGTGCCATCCTCAGTGCCCAGAGAAAAAGGAAACTAAGATCACCTGAAGGCTGAGTGGGCATAGGGCGTGCCCCACAGGCACGAGGCCTGGGTTCAGTCCCTGGTTCCCCCCCAAAAATGATGATCGCCTGACCCATAAAAGGCTGGTGGCGAGGACACTGAAGGGCTTGACCCTTCAATGCCAGTCTTAT